AAGAAAAAAAATTGCAAAAAGGAAAACCCAGCATTGACGGGGGAAATATGGTGAAGGTACACAATATTACTGAAGGATCTATTGTACAATCAACATATACAGTATTGTGAAACGGTTAATGGAGGAAATCAATGAGGGATAACGGCTGGAATTTGAGGGTGTTGAATAAGAGTTCATAATACGTTACGTTTTGTTAAGGTATGTTAATTCAGTGGAAGCATACATCACAACAATGAGCCTACACACCTGAGAGCTTTGAGTGACAGGTTGGTGATTGAGGTACAGGAGGCGAGGTCCAGGTGCTTCAGCTTTGGACAGAACTTACTGAGACTATTACACGTGCTGCAGAAGAGAAAGACAATGAGCGCTTTGGAGGAGAAGTGACATTCTGATACATTGGTATCCCAGAACAATTCACACACCTGTCAGTGATCTTAGTGCAGCCATTCAGACTAAGTAGCTCAATGTTTCTGCAGTTCTGCGAGAAAGTCCTGCAAAAACAAACATTTATATGATGGTGATAGTAAACTTCTTGTCTGTCCCTCCCCAAGGGCTGAACTACAGCTAGAATGTCTGTTGGCAAACTCACCTGAGGGCACTATCACCCACACCCAGGCAACCCCGCAGACTCAGCTTCCTAAGGAACCCTCCACATCGCTTTGAGATGTTCTCCACCACCCGGCCCTGTAACAAAAACAATCTACTCAGCTCACTGTATTTGCTTCTGCACCTTGGTCATGACTGAAGAGTAAAGTGTGGAAAGAAACAGCACAGTACACAGCAAAAATGAAGTTAAAGGCAAGGGAAAAGTAGATGGAAATCAGATTGACTCACCTCAATGTCCCTCTGAAAGTCAAAGAGGTCGATTCGTTGCCAGTTGCTGCCGTCCAAAGCCAGAACATTCCAGGACTGAGAGCAGTGAGGGAGAAAGAGACGTTTAGGGTCAATATTTTTCTCAAACATACAACATACACACACAGAACGCACACTAAAAACACACAGACAAACACGCAGTCACACACCCATGCATACACACACCTTGTGAACACAAACTCACCCGAGAGACCTGGGCACAGCGACAGAGTGTCACCACATCCAGAAAGGAGAAGATTCTGGAAGACAGACAGGGACGGTTTAGAGACCCTGACCCCCGCTGCCAGAAGCTTCCTCTTTACACTAGACTCTGCCCTCAACGCAGCCCTGTGTCTGCTTCCACTCACAGCACAGGGGTGCGAGTAAATCAGCTAATATTGTCTTTGACTGTCAGCATGATATATGTGTTTATCCTGTTTGCAGGATAGATGTGTTTACTCAAAGTGGGGTCCTGGTGAGGAAGACACGCAATCTGCTTCTAAGGAACAGAGCTGGAAACTTATTATAAGATTCCTCAATGCAGCAAAAACTGTATAAGGGTTGAAGCAAGGATGCAGTGAGTCCCAGCACAGCCTGCCAGCCTCACAAATCAGGGCATTGAACCTGGCCAAGTCGCACAGAATCAGCAGCCGCAGCACAGGCAGCTTGGCTGGCAAGGCCGAGGCTTGAGTTATGGCCTTCATTTTCTGTTTGCTCAGGGGCTGCTGAGTTTTTTTTTTTTTTCTGCCTGAAATCAATTTGAATGCTTTATAGCCTCAAGCATCTGTTTTAAATTACAGTTTTAGCATTGGGGGAGCAGAGTAGGGTGGGGAACGAGGGGAAATTGGCATCTTGGTGGTTAGTTTAGTTGAAATATTTGCTAAAGGGCAAGTGAGCATACAGTATATGATCGTAAGATGCACAATGTGTGTGTCTGTGTTTGACGGCTGTAGCGGGAGAAGGGTGGTGCAAGGCCAATTGTGCCTTTGTATATGATTGGATGTGCTGATTGGGAGCGAAGGTAGGGAGGTTAATGTGGAGTATGAAACATGCCACTGTTGCTTGCAAAACGACCAGCAGATAGTCTGAAGTGTTTTGAAATGTCACTCACCGTAACAACAGCTCCTTAGGCAGCTTTTTATTGATGACTGCCTCATCACTGTTTGTGAACATCTGAAAGGGTGCAGAGGATAATGTTAGTCCCGGCATCCTTTTTAACATAGCTGGGCCTCCCTTCATCCACCCGCCTCACTCAAGGACAGCACCAGCAAATAGAAAGCAAGAAAAACTGATCGTAATCTCATCAGCTGAGAGAGATTCAATGTCAAGTCTTGGAAAACACAAAAGGTGACAGAAGATAAAACAGCACAAGAGACAGAGTTTTGTGTCTTCGGAGCAAAATCATTAGGACAGAACTTTGTACTGTCGACTACAGAACTGTGAGGCCTTAGCTTTCATGTTATCTTTTCTGTCTGCATATTCTTCCCTTACTTTCTGTGTTGTTTACACTGTACATTAGCATGTACTGAGAATGTACACTGGAGTTTGTTACAATACATCTTTTGTGACTCTCCGGTGAACTGCTCCAGCTTCTGCAAACAGCTAATGGATTTCCACAGAAATAATTGCATGCTGTGTGAGTGCAAATACTAGCCTATAATCCACAGA